GGCTTACAGCAACCTCTAACTCTTGGGTTCAAGCCATCCTCTTGCCTCAGCCTCCTAAGTAGCTGGGACTTACAGGCACCTGCCACAATGCCTGGCTAATTCTTCTATTTTTAGTAGAGATGGGGTCTTTCTCTTGTTCAGGCTGGTCTTGAATTCCTGAGCTCAATCAATCCACCTGCCTCAGCCTCCCAGAATGCTGGGATTAGAGGTGTGAACCACTGGGCCCTGCCATAGGGTTTTTTCCTTTTTTTTGAGAGAGATTCTCACTATGTCACCCTCAGTAGTGTGCTGTGAAATCACAGCTCACAGCAACCTCAAATTCTTGGGCTTAAGTGATTCTCTCGCCTTAGAGAGTCAAGAGTCCCAAGTAGCTGGGACTATAGGCACCTGCCATAATGCCCGGCTATTTTTTTTGTTGGTGGTGCAGTTGTCATTGTTGTTTAGCAGACTAGCGCTGGGTTTGAACCCACCATCCTTGGTACATGTGGCCAGCACTGTATGCACTGAGCTATGGGTGTCGCCTTTTTTCTTTTTTTTGAGACAATATCTCACTGTTTTGCCCTGGGAAGAGTAGTGCATGGTATCATCATACTTGACAGCAACCTCAAACTCCTGAGCTCAAGCTATCCTCCTGCCTCAGCCTCCCCAATAGCTGGAACTACAGGTGGCCACCACAATGCCTGGCTATTTTTTTCTATTTTCAGTAGAAATGGGGTCTCACTGTTGCTCAGCCTGATTTCAAACTCCTGAGCTCAAGCAATCCATCCTTCTTGGCCTCCTAGATTGCTAGGATTACAGGCATGAGCCACTCATGCCTGGCCGGTTTTTTCTTTCTTTCTTTTTTTTTTTTTTTAATATTCAAGATCTTTAAAACCCAAATCATATAAGTTCAGTGAAGGAAGGAATTTTGTCTTTTTGTATTTTCAGAGGCCAGCATAATTCCTGGCCCATAATTGGTTTTAATGCATATCTGTCAGTAAATAATTAAATAAGGATTCTACACAACTAGAATATAAGTGACCTTTGACTTTCCTGTATCTAACACCTCACAGTCCATTCTTTTCCCTTGCCTTCTTCTTTCTTGCCCTTAGTAGAGTGCTGTGGTGTGACAGCTAACAGCAACCTCCAACTCTTGGGCTTAAGTGATTCTTGCCTCAGCCTCCTGAGTATCTGGGATTATAGGCACCCACCACAAGGCCGGGCCATTTTTTGTTGCAGTTTGGCTGGGGCTGGGTGTGAACCTGCCATCCTCGGCATATGGGGCTGGCACTCTACCCACTGAGCCACAGGTGCCGCCCCCTTCCCTTGCCTTCTTT